CAATGAATGTTTCCCACTTCCTGACACTGAAACTGAACAACAATAATTATTGGTTCTTGAAGGAGTATGCAGAAATTCTTTCTTTCGACTTTCGACTTTCGAGTTGCGGACCGATCACTCAAGCGCACCGCCTGGCAAGCATTCAGATGAATTAAGTGCATTGCTCTGGAAATCTGGCCCGAAGGACTCTTCCCTTCGTCCAGTGACACAGAGCTCCGGCAGCCATTCGCACCAGGCCGGGAGCTCAGCCGTTCCTGGCTGAGCTTCTACCGCCTCCGCGAAAAGGGCTGCAACCATATTGCAAAACTGCGGTGGGTATTCCTTTAAGGAAGAGGTCGCCCATTGCCCGCCTTCGAGTCCTATTGAAATCTGGTTCGGTCGTGTGGCATTTTTGGCCTTTTGCGCAATCTCCATGGCCTTGGCAGCGCGGATACCACTGAGCAAAAGCCGTGTCGGTTTTGCGCTTTTGGCGCCATAGAAGCCCTGCTCGACTGCCAATTCACAGAAAAGTCCAGTCTGCCGAAACCAGTGTATGGCCGCCAGGCGCCACATGGACGCAGCATGCTCAACTCCTCTACGGTATCGTTGCGGCTCCTCTGGGTGTTCCAAACAGGAGAAAAGACCAAGCCGTGCCTGAATGAAGCAAATGAGCAGGGCGAACGTCAGCAGGGTGTTGCCAACAAACACCTGGAGGCTCTCCTTCTTAGTAAGGTCGAGCCGCCCCCAGAGCTCTTCGGCTGATCTAACTGGCCTCGGGCCATTCCGAGATATGCTCTCAACAGATCGTTTCCTGTGCTCCTACAAGACCATAATGGACACTCCCAAATGTACTAGGAACTTCGTCAGAGATCTGGTGTTGTCCAATGAGCTCGATGCCTGGGATTGGCTCAAAGTCCTGCATGAAAGAGATTGCATCAGTCAATATTGTCCTTCTGACTAGCAACCCCCCATGCATGATTTCATCATTGGTTAGTCTCCTTCGTCCGACAAATCGGTTATGGAAAGCACATGCACTAAAACTGAATGTCTCACTGTCGGAGTCCTGTCCTACAGCTACAAACAAATATGCAAGCTGACAGGTCTCTATGTAAACTAGTACATGTGTCTCATCAGGCACTGCAGAATACTCGGCTGGTTGCGGCCGAACAAAGACGGAGTCACAGCGACCTCGACACTCATCTGCCCATAGCTCATTTGCAACTTCCCGAATCATTATCTTCCGGCCGGGCGCAAATTTGGAGTGTCTGCTCTGTCCGCTACAACCATTCTCCGGAGCAAACCAGAACCTGAAGTCTAGGGGCTGCTCGGTGAAAGGGTCGTATAGGGATTGACTACCCACGGTCCCTTCATCCTTCCCAAGTCTATTACCTGGTTCATCCCTAAGGAAGCAAGTGTCAAGGCTGGCGCCCTGCGCATGTCTGCCTCCATCATGACTATCCTCGACAACATGAGCTGCACTATCTGTACAATGTTTGTCATCCGGTCGGTCCTCCGGAATGCAAAAATGATTTGGGAGCTCTTGGTTGTTTGAGGCAAAATTGTAGCCTTCTTTGGTTAGCTTATTGCTATCCTTCCCACAAGGCTGAGGGGATATGCCCTGTATGCTATCGCTCTGGACCTGGGCAGCACTCTGAGGTCGTTGCCAGCTAAATCGCGACTCTGGTAGGTCTAGAATATCCAGGAGAGTAGTAGCATTGGCATTATCAGAGTCATAACCTCTGGTCTGTACAGGACTGACAAGGCTAGGTTCGGAGCAACTGCACTGCTCCTGCAGCCTAGGAGAGTGCTCATTCCTACTGTTCTGGAGCAGAGAAAAATCCTCAGTCTCTATCGAAGGGCATCTTCTTTCATGTTCAATCACTAAGTCAACTCTCTGCCACCCTTGTAGCCTATATTGGTGTCTAACCTCAAACCTACCTTCGACGAATGCTCTGCAGACAATACCTTGACTTAGGCAGGTCCCCTGATTATTCGAGGCTTCAATAAGCTCGGTGAGGGATACGACGCTGGGGACAATCTTGGCTATGGCTTGTATACTATGCTCGTCAAGAGTCCATATCAGGATGGCTTTTTCACTCGGTGAAAGCCTGCCCGGGGCCGCAATGGCCATCAGCATCGTCTCTCTTGCAAATCGAATGTCATCGAAATTCTGAGGTATGACGGCTCCTAGAGTGACTAGCTGCTCAGGAGCGAATTCATCTCCTAGTGAGGACCGAGCGCTGGTGCGTATCTGGTCTGGTGTTGGGAAGGTTGATGTATGAATGCCGAAAGTCTAAATTCGGCCTGCTCTCGTCGTGGTATAAATACCAATTTCTGGCCAGTGCTGGTTGTTGAACCAAAAGGTCTCAGCTGGAGTTCTAAATGTTGCCGGGTTTGCAATCAAGGTGTTTCGAATCCAGGTTCTGGCAAGGTCAGGGTCTTCTTGCATCAGTTCATTTGATGGTGGCCTATATTGAAAAAGCCTAGCTTCATCATCGAAGGCCACATGTGAACTACCATTCTCTTGGATGGCCATCTGGATGTTTGTATGCACCCCGACTGCATGTGCAGACATGGTGTTCAAGCATAACAGCAAACATGGCCAATTGATGCTTGTCCGTCGTCTCCTGGATTGGGAAATCTGCGTAACCCAGAAGAACGGGCTGCCTTAATCCTCTGGAGTTTATGGTCAAGGAGCAAATCCCTGAGGGAAGCTGTCCCAGCCAACAAAACAGCCAGAAAAAGCGCTATATAACTGCAGGTACGGATATGCACACCGTCTTCCCCACAAATTGAACCTGTGATCCAAGTCAGGTTGCAAAGCCCTCCACAAAGAATCACAGTGTATATTCTCTTGCAACGGAAAAGGAGTCTTCTCCTCCCTTGCCAAGCTGAACTAGGGTGTTGTAGGCCAGTTCCTAAGGAAAGTGCCTGAAACAACAAGCTCATTGTGATATAAAAAAACAATGTGCTGGCAAACAGAAATATCGTTCTGACATGCCCTCCTGAAACTGTATCCTGGCAGGGGGGTTCCACGTGCAGGTCCTCCCCACCAGTGTCGGAGACATAGCTCCTATTGGCCATGCAAATGTTGAGTGATGCAGCTACTATAGTCTCTTCCCTGGAAAATGCCAAATCTTCCCATAGAACATCCGGCTGAAGTAAACCGCATAGCCCTAAGAATGGCTGAGCGCTCCCATTTTGCAATAACACATGTTGCAGATCTGTACCAGGATTGCTCATAGCATCACTGAACTTTCGATTCCATGAAACTCTGTCACTTCCAACTGCACCAGTCGCCTTGAAAATGGCGCCAACGGCCCTCGGTTGCAAGTGCTCATACTGACCCTCTCTCAAAGCTTGGCCTTGTCGTCCACCAAGGAGGCCGCTGCGAATTCTTGAGAGTCCTCCTGACTTTCCCTTTTTGGGCTTCTGGACCGAAGCCTCTTTGGCACTGTGAGATCGGTTCCAAGCTTGCCTGCAGCTAGTTGAATCTGTCTCATTCTGAATTCTCTTTGTTTCCTGGCTAAGTCTGCCGGCGATGGGTCCAAGGGGGATGGTAATGCCACCTCCTTGCTTTCGCTTGGCATGACTTCCTCTGCTGGCTGTCTTGAACTCTGCGCCAATGCAAAGGCTTGGAATTGCTGTTGCAGTCTCATCAACTGCAGGTGGGTCTCTCGTTGAGCTTCTTGAGAATCTTCGAGCTGCCTTCGGAGTTCCTCTTCTACAGAGAGGGTTTCCACCGGCATTTCTCCTTCGTCTTTGGCTTCCGTGATTGCCAACTCTAAGGTCTTGATCTCGGACATAAGCTCGCCCATTTCCTTCTCGTATGTCTTCTCTTCTTCTGTTCTGTGCTGTTCCATATAGGCCAGAAAGGCTTTGTAGGCTTCTTCTCTTTTGCTCTTGGCTACTTTGACCTTCTCCAGCTTCTGAACCAGCTTCCTGCGGTCGTTGAGGTCCTTCTGCTTCAGCTTCAACTCCTCCATGGGATCGGGAGCAATAGCTTCGGCCACCTCCTTGCTCATTCTGAGATTGTTGGTCTCCATCACATCCTTCAACAAATGCCGAAGGTGTGAATCCCCAGCTGCAACCACCGAGGATGATGAAGAGGAGCCCTGCTCTCTTGGATACAAAGTCTTTGTACCCAGGTAGCTTTGGCTCTTCTTCCTTGCCGCTCTTTTTCTTCTGCGGCTTCTCTTGTTCTCTCTGAGCTTTCGGCCATGCACCTTGCCACCATGGGCTCTTGCCCTGGCCTTTCTGTTTTCCTTTGTTGCCACCCCATCCCATCGGCTTGGGCCAAGAGTGGTGGCTCCTAAGCTTACGCGCTCTAGTCAGGCACTGCTGCAAGGCTTGCGACCGGTGGGTGGTCGCCTTACTCTGTTTGACCAGTTTCCTGGCCCTAGATCTAGCAGATAAGCCTTCTGTGCCAGCTGGGGCTGGCAGCCCTCTTCGTCACTTCTCAGCCAGTGGAGCTTCCAGCGCCCCCACCAACAACCAAAAAAACGTCCAATGGCAGCAAGCAACGATGTAAAAAGCGCGTCGAACTCTTTGAGTTCTGGGGCCCGACCTACGAATCCCTGTCCGCTTCGAGCCCTGCTCAACAAAGATACAAAGAAACACAGAGAGAGAGAGAGAGAGAGACATAATCCTTTGAATTTGTGTTTCTTTAACGCCAACAAAGCTCCACGTGGCAAAATGCGCTTCTGCGTCCACTGTGAAACAGAATTTGTCTCTTCGTTTCGTGCGTCTCTTCAGTCTCTTTTGGGCAGAAACTTCGGAGCGCCGTCGCCGCAACTTGGGGCGGTTGAGGGCAGAAAGGCTTTGTGAAACCTGTGAAACGTCCAGAAACGCGTCCAAATACGTTGCACACGAAGCAAATCGCCGGAACGAATTTTTTTCAACCATCAAACCATTTGCGTCCCAAAACGCGAAAGTTCGGAACGTGAAACGTTCTTGCACCGCGCACCGCCTTTGATCTGTCCAAAACGTGAAATTGTTTCGATCTCAAAAGGCAAACTTTTCTAAAGCGGAGCGGACGATTGGGCAGGTTGAGGTAAAGTACCGCCACCTTTGTGAAGCATTTTGGCCAATGGCCCCCATTGCCGCTCAGGCCCTGCAATGTAGCTGCGGTGAACTCGGTCTTCTCCTACGGAACACGGAACACCGAATTTGCAAAACAGCGCTTCAATGCTAGCGACACATTGTTCAATTGAGAAATATTGCGAAGACGAACGACAATCGCCCAAAGACCCTCTGAATTATTACTTTAGCTTCACGACGCATCAGAATCTTCTCACGCCAGAATGATGGCATTGCCGCAAAGAACAACATTGCGCAAACGCGACATGCCAGAGACGCGCGAAACTCGGGAAGGAATTTCTGCTAACTCAACACGCAGCCATTATGGTTATGAGAAGCGCGTTGAGTTGGGGCGGCCTAGCGCCACACGCTTCCGAATCTGACGACAAACATCAGTAGGTCTTGGTTGAGAGGCGTGAAAAGTGCATTCTTGAGTACTGGCTGAGCTCAGACCAGATGTGTAGAAAGACAGAGGGAGATCGTCAAGAGGGGATGGAAAAACGTTGTCGCCAAAACGAGACGTAAGAGGAGGTATAAGACCTAGGCAATGTCTGCACCGCAACCGTCAAGACCAGCAACTCAGGCAGAAGAATTTTGGAGAGCAGGCGGAGGCCTTTAGATGAGAGCGCGTGGCTGCGCAGTCAAACTGGGGGGCCGATGAGGTTGACATCATCTCCCGCAGGGGAGCGCTGAAGCAAAAGGTGCAAAAGATGTCGTCGCAGCTTCGCCAGCGAGGGTTGTCCTGACATCGAGCGCTCAACTGGACTAGTCAGCGCCGGCAAAGTGAACGCATTGACCAAAACCAGCGGGTAGAACCACATCCCTCTGCCGAAGCCGACCATGGCCCGACCAATAGTCACGGCTTTGCGGCTGACCTGAGCCGTCCCCGAGCCGCATATCAACTGGCAAATCAAACCACTCCACGATAGAGTTCACGGAGAATTGGAGAAGGTATAGGGGCTGGAGAATGTGAAGCACACAGGAGCAGCGCAGCCACGTAAAATCATGTGGGCGCTCATGTTCGTACAACTACACCCTGGTAGACTCCAAACAGCTGCCCGCTGTAAATCTGCATCTCGAAACATGACTGTTGGAGGGCATTGCTCTTGCCCGAAGGCGAACGCAGAAGCCCAGACGGGAAACAATAGTTGCAATAGCCCAGACGGGAGACTGCGAGGAAAACGCAGGACAATGCCAAGTTTAACAACTTCTGACTAAGGAGTTGTCACGCTATAGAACTGCTACAGGAGTTGCCAGACGGTTAGACCAGACTGGGAGACGAATCTGAAGAATTGACACAGAGAACTGCCACCCAAATAGCAAAAGAGACACTGAGTGGGGCCGGCACAAAGCGGACACAGATGTGAAGAAGTGATATGTGTGCCACGCATGGCAACTTGGGCGCCAGACACGAAGGAATTGCCGTTGCCACAAGGTGGACAGCGACAGCCACTCGGAGCGACGGAGCGAAATGCTGAGCGACGTCCAACGCGACGTCGTCTCAACGGCCGCTGAGCGTGGACGGACCAAGTGCCGTGACACCGCGACGCGTAAAAAACGAAAAAACATAAAAGAAGAAAGAAAAACATTAACGTTTTGGAAACGTTTTTTCGGGTCGAAAGTGAAGACGAAAACGCACTAAACATGCGGTGCAGTTCTCCTCGGCGCCGAATCTGAACCTCAAGGCAACTCGATTGGGCACCCCCGTTCGTTCGTTCTTTTATTCCATTTCTTTTCCATTTCTGTTCTTCTTCCCACTTCGTTCGTTTTTCGACTCCCTTCCATCCTGAGGTCTTGGACAGGCGTCGCTGTTGATCTGGTCCCTGGGCGCAGATCTCTCGTCTCGCCTGCCTCTCCTTTAAGTTCGCTTAGGCGCGACACATCGGTTAGGCGTGGAAAATGGGACGTGACTTTTGCGGTTTTGTGCGATGGATGGGGTGGAAGTGATTGGCCTTTTTACGCTTCCTTTTGTTTGGGGGCCTATATATGCCACAAATGTTCTTATTGATGGCAATTTCAAGCGTTTCACATGTTCGTTCCCTGAGTTGAGCCATATTTACGGCGGTTGGAGAAGGACACAGCATGTTGTGTAGGGAGAATACCATCTTCTTCAGACTGTCCTTGTCTGTCTGTTCTTCGATGTCAACGTGCGCGCCTCAAATTTCGCGCAACAAGCGTGTCGTCGAAAAAAGTGTCCATTTTGCAACGTCGAACGAAAGTAGGGCCGATATCACCCGAAAATGGTCGACGCTGTCTTCGGTCTTGTCTCGTTGCGATTCGCTCCGGGGTCACGCCTTGTGTCTCGCTTCGCCCATGCTTCAAAGAATGACTGGCGCAGAAAAACACCATCTACAAACGAGTAAGTTTGGCAAAAAGCGGCAACGAGGCCTGTGTGACATCCAGGCAACATCTCGCGCGTCTCTCCTCGCCTAAGTGAAAAAATCAGCAAATTGTTCACAGGTAGAGACAATACGAAAGGATACGAAAGGCAACAAAGAATGCGAAAGCTTTTAAAAGAAATGCTGGGCTCAGGAACTGCACGCTGAAAAACATTTGCGTGCTTTCCAGCGAGCGCTTGAACAGTCAAGGTTGCTCTATAGGCACTCCAGGTAGGTTTAGATTAAGGAAGTACACAGTCAAAGGGAAGCCCGTAGTGGGGGCCTGCCAACAAGCGGCCAAAGAGTTTCGACAGCACGCCGCATCTGCTACGCCCAACATGTTTGTTTGGTTCACATGACATATTCAACCAGGCTTTTATGGTCGGTGTGAAGGTCGACCCATCCGTTTCCTTCACATCAGGATCAGGGCCTCCGCAGCTGAGCACTTGATCACCATCGCATGGGTGTCAAGTAGCTGGTTAACGTCTGGTATGGCCTGATAATTCTGGCACTGGGACTGTTCACACGGAGCGCGGCAGTGCTGCCAATCAGCACCCTTCTGACCTCGGGGTTTCTGGCCCACAGCGTGCAAGAAGTTGAGTTGGCGCTCTCGAAGGCTGCTCTTGCTCTTGGATTGCGCCGCGCGGAAAAAGCTCGTCCATCCAATCTTTGTTGACTGCGGTGTTGTCTTGATGGGCTCCGCGTGAATCAGAGCGATCCGAACTCCGAGTTCTTGCTGCTAGATCCACCATGAAGAACCATGTGGGCCTCCGAGGCAGGAAGCTTGTGGCTCGCCCTGACTTGGAACGTGCGTGGGCTTTCTGCTTGACCTGGGCTGGTTCCATGTGTATTCGGATGGTTAGTTTCCCCAGTGGCGAGGGACCACTCCATGCATAAACAGGTGAAAAAAAATTATCACCCTCATCAACATTGCCAACGAATCTCCACTACCGCTGCACCGCCGCCCCCACAGAAACAAAGTAATCTCGCCGAGTACCTAATATAAAACATTCACCAAGCCCGAAATCCTAAATACAGCTTATTGTTGCTTTTAAGCTGCCGCCCTTTAAAGCCGTTACTAAGCTGCCGACATGGCCGCTTTTTGGTGAGTCTTTATTGTAATTAGGTTCCAAAAGCAACCCTAACTGCCCACCTCAGTATGACACGCCGCGTGTACACCAGCAGGCTTTCCTTCCCCCAATGTCACGGACTCAAGCAAAGGCACTTGCCACCAAGGCCGCGCAAAACGGCATGGCACAGCGACATCACCCTTCGAAAGCTTTAGTTGTTAGTCGAGAGAAAAGGAAGACCCTTCGATCTGGAGGTTTTTTCAATTTTTGATACGAGTGTAATAAAGGATTTTATATAAATTAAGCTTTCCTGGGGGACTTTTCCCAGGTGTCTGCACGAAATGCGCACTTCAAGCTTCACAAGGATCCTCCCACTGACCCTATTTTGGACAACCCCGATTTCAGGGACCCCCCATTTAAAAACAGAACGGGTGTCCCTGAGAGTGCGGTTTTCAATTGATTTGCAGATGTTCGTCTGGAAATTTTGCCACAGATAGAGACATTTCAGATATGACCAGATGCTCTGAGTATTCATAAATACAAAAGAATACAATTTTCCAGGGGTTTGGGAATCTTTGGTCTCAAAAAAAAAAGAAAAAATCCAGAGGTCTTTGAACTTGGGGCTTCTGCAGAAAGAATTCTGAAATTTTGGTTGTTGCTGTTTTTTGTTTTTTGGTCTTTCACCTTTTTTTTGGTTCCTCTATCTGGCGGCCCAAGCAGACAGGGGACATCAATAGGAGGAAACATTACAATACATGAATGGCAAAAATCATATCTAGTAAGCAAAGAATGGTTGTGGTGCAGTATCACAAGAGCAAGGGGTTTTAACAATGTATATTTTTCAAGAATGAAAAAGCAGATGAAGAGATGCAAACGAATATAGTAATAGGATATTTTAAAAACACTATTGAAGGATACAAAAAAACAGGATAAAGTGGCTATACTGATAGAGAAATAGATGAAGAAAACTATATTAATGAACATTGGTGTTTGAATCTGCAGAACATTCATCATGAGTTGAAGTACATGTGCAGTTATGTCAGCTGCCTTTTTTGCACAAGAGCAGGGCCCCAAGATAGAAAAACAAGCGTGTGCCGCTATCAGTGGCTTAGCGGAGGTGCGCTGTCCTTTTTTCCGCTATCAGTGAGCTTAGCGGAGGTGTGCTGTTCGATTCGCAGAGCTGGTTGCACGATCTAGGAACCTGATCAAATCAGGTTATGAGCCCAAAAGGTTACCACTAGCAGCGATGCTCCAACAAAGGAGACGAAAGGCCACCAAGGAAGAGTTGGCGCAAGGTGAACGTGAGATGAAAGCGGCTCAAGAGCGGCTTGATCGTGAGCTTCAAACCGCCCAGGAGCTGCCTCTTGAAGACCAACGACAGGAAGCGTTAGAAGATGGAAAAGGGGGGGCAAGCCAAGGTACTCAGCCTCACCAGACACCAGCCTCGACCGCCGCTCCTGTCACCGAGGATCGAGTTCAGGTTTCTGGACCTTCGACACTGAGGACTCCTGAGGTGAAAGGGCCCAAAAGCAGTCGAGAAGGAACGGAAAGAAAAGAAAAGAAAGTTGAAGATGAAGTGAAATCTTCACACCCGACACCAAGGACAGAAGGCAGCCGGGTTGGTGGGAAAGGGAAAGGTGAGAGAAGGGATGATGAAGAAGTGATCCCTGAAAGTCACTCCATAGCTACACCACCAGATCCAGCTGCTCCTCTGATACCTTTGTTCAGTGAAGAACAGCGAAGGGGCCTTCACGAGATGTATCAACAGGCTCCATGGCTGTCCTCGAAGTTTGAAACTCCACAGGCCATAGCTTCGACTCCCATGCCAACCCTGTCAAGACCTGCTTTCCTCACCGAAGAAGAAGGCAGGGAAGCTAGTGAGAGAAGAGAAGAAGAAAAGAGAAAGATGGAAATGTTGCGACAGTTGCATGAGAGAAGGGAGCTTGAAGAAGTGGTTGCATCAAAGAACATCTCAACGCTGGGAATCCTGGCTAAAGGTATGGTTTTGTACCAGCCTGGCGGCCTTGCAGAACGGCAAGCGATCCTTTCTGCACTTGAGTCACCTGCAGAAGCGGCGACAGTTGGGATTGCCATCACCACTCTCCGCCGTTGGATTCGGTGGAAACGGAGGGCCGAAGAACTTGATGTTTCGGTGCCAGACCCAACCATATACTGGCCCGAGGCTTGAGCAGGTTGACCAAAAAGTTGCTCAGTTTGCATCCGGAGTTGTCCTTCAGACTTCAGCTGGCCCGCTCCTCGTTGTTGATCGATTCAGTGCCAACACCCTCCTCGATCACTCAATATGCAGAGCACGTCATGGCCGAGCTCGAGCAGGTGAACCAGCAGACCAAGAAAAAGGATCCTGTGACTGATCCACCAAGGTTGAAGAGATTTGAAGAAGCTTCCAAGGACAAGAAAGATGACAAAGAAAAGAAACCAGGTGATGAAAAGAAGGACAAACCCAAGTGTCGCTTCTTCCTCACCGACGAAGGTTGCAGAAGAGGAAAAGGGCGCACGTTTGCTCATGATCAACGAGATGAAAAGAGGAGGTGCTGGAACTAGTGGTGCTGTTGACCACATGGCTCCGTCGTGCACCAGGCCAAGAGAGTCAAAAGAAGGAAATGGAAGACCGAAGATTGCAAAGGCTGAAAAAGAAAAAGCCGCAAGTGGAAAGAATGAAGGTGATGGAGGAGATGATCAACCCTCTATCAAAGACTTGTTGAATGGGATGAATGGTTCTCCAACGGCATCAAGTGCCTCTCCGTCGTCTCGTGGAAGTGATCACGAGCGAGCGCAATGAGGTTGTGGAAAAGCTTCAACAGCAGCTGAACGCTCTCAAACAAAAGACGTTCAGGTTGAGAAGAATGAAGAAGGGTGCACAGGAAGGCTTGCTTGACTCAGGTGCGACACATCCTCTTCGACCAACAAAGAAGGGAGAGGATTGCACTGAATACCAAAAGGTCCAAGTCGCCCTTGCCAACGGTCAGGTGGTCAGCCTGCCGATCTCACCAGGAGGAGCAATGGTGTCTCAAGATGAAGACATTGAGCCAATCATCCCAATGGGCCTTTTGACTGAACGACTGGGTTGCACAGTTCAGTGGGCCAAGGGACAACTCTCTGTTTGCCATCCTTCTCGAGGCCAACTCCCAGTGTGCGATCGAGATGGTTGCCCTCAGTTGCCACGCAAGTTGGCATTGCAGTTGATCGAAGAACTTGAGAATGTCAAGAAAGGGATCAACTTCGAAGAAAAAGAAATGTTTGAAGAAGAAATGAAGTGGATGAAGGGGTTGGTCAATGCCCATCCAGTGCTTTCAAGGCTCCCAAAGGAGGTGAAGGATTCGCTGGTGGTCAGGCCTGGCTCCTGGTCGTCATTTCCGGCCGTTTCCGGCGAATCGCCGAAAGCGAAAAGCGATATGGTTTTGTATGCCACCTGTACGCAGGACCTGATGAAGGGTTCACTATGTCAAGGGCATGGACTCAACTTGGTGAAAGGGAAAAGGAGCTCATTGAGATCGATGTGAAGAGGGGCGCTGAACACGACATGTTGTTGGACTCCGGCCCCTATAGTGCTTTGCTCCGTGCGGTCTGGGAAGACCGATTGAAGGGTCTGGTAGGTGGCCCAAACTGTCGCACCAGAAGCATCATGAGACACTACCCAGTTGAATGGGGAAACTCACCAAGCCCACTTAGAAGGTGGGGAAACGATGAGGAGTTCGGCATCAAGGACGCCACTCCAGAAGAAGCAAAGAAACTGCTTGAAGATGATTGTCTGCTCTGGCGTATGATTTTCATCGCCATGCTCGACTCCTACCTCAAGGAGGCCAGAGGAATCCAAGAAAGGATGTGCTTTGGGCTTGAACAGCCTGCATCCCCCAAGAATTATACGCCGGAAGTGGTCTCGTTTTGGGACACTAAAGAATGGGCTCTACTGAAAGAAGAGTTTGGATGGAATGAAAAGACCTTCCAACAAAAGCCTCTTGG